GACCAAAGATGGTGACACTCTCGAGCATGTTACACTGTCGGTTTCAAGCCACTACAACGTTATGCAAAACTTAACCCCGCACCACCCGGCGTCAATCTCTTTTCACTTTCAGGGTAATTTCAGACTGGAACGCACTGCCAGAAGAGATGGTCTATTTAACTAGAAAAGCGTCATTCAAGTCTCGACTTGATAAGTATCTGGGTTTAATTGCCTCCGGTTTAGCCCCCCTCAAAAGAATTACAAAATTACCAAACAAAACACAATAAAAATACCATAGCTCTTTTGGTGTATTTAAGCTTTTGCCCATTTGCTAAAGCTCATTTTTACGTTTGATAACAATGTGGCCAGAACAACTAACATCGCTAGTTCCCGGGCAAGACGGTATACTGCACCTCCATTTTTGCTGATTTTTCAATTGAATCCTACACAAACAGACAACAAGAAACCATCAAAGATCCGGGACTATTGGGTGACAGCCTCGAACCCAAGAGTGAGTTCGAGACTTCAAAACTATGACATCCAACACACAATTGCGGAACTCTCTGGCAGTCGTAGCACAGTGGCAACCATCAGCACAAGTGCAAGGAGCTGGACGTTTACTGGTCGAAGCCTGAAGACTTGTGACCTGACCTGACCAATTTCACGCGACCAGATTTTGTTTGTTTCTATCAATCGAGCTTCGTTACCATAACTTGGAAAATTAGAAATTTAAAAATACAAGCTTTCCATATCTACCGTTGTCTGTATTATTTCTAAATGTCCAACCAATTAGAAGAAGAAGATATAGGCTTCGAGAAATTGAATCTGAAAGGAGTTATTGGATTCAATGGTAAAGCCTTTGATAAAACTGAATTATTTCATCCAAGGCGGCGTTAAACGTGGATTCTTTGTTCACCCGGATAGACAAAATTACGTTTTCCCGCTAGGGTGCACGGTGGTCATAGAACACATCGTAACAAGAAAACAAGAATTCTTGCAAGGACATACGAATAACATTGTCTGTTTGGATGTTAGCAAAAATGGTGAATTCATCGCTTCTGGGCAAGTTACTTACATGGGTTATAAGGTATATTCTGGTGTTATATAATTCATTTCCGAAGGCGAACATAATAGTGTGGAAGTATGAAACGAAAGAACAATATGCTGTCTTTTCTTTACACAAAGTCAAAGTCCAAGCTCTGTGTTTTTCTCCAAACTCCGTTTATCTGGCTAGTCTTGGTGGTCAAGATGATGGAAGTGTTGTAATATGGTCATTGAAAAAGAAAGAAGCTATATGCGGCAGTCCTGCTCAACATCAAAGTGCTGGAATTACGGTGTGTCTAACATACTGCAACGATGACGATGAAAGATTTATCACGGCTGGCGAGTAGGTTGATCATTTTTCAACTAATTGCAACAGAAATACCGTGCGCATATGGCAGTTGGACCTGCCAAATAGAAAAATTCGCCCAACGGATTGTGCATTAGGGCAAATAAAGCGAACTGTTCTATGTGTTGCTGTGTACCCTGACGATGAAGGATTTTATTGTGGAACAAGCACGGGAGATATCCTCGGAATCAGTATCAAAACTGGTCTATTACAACTGATTGCTCCAGAGAAGGATAAANGATAAATACAGCCTTGGGGTGACCGCAATCACAACAATGCATGATTCGAAGATATTGATAGGAAGTGGAGATGGAATTGTACAAGAACACACACATATACACAAAAGAGAAGGAGCAAGATGCTATCCATCACTTTCCATATCCAAGTGAGTTTCATAAATTTCGTTATCAAATTATTTTAACTGAATTACAATGGCAATATTAGATTACATAAATTATAAGGGTTATGTGCAGAAAATATTATTTTAATTTTAAATTTGAAAATTTATCGACTGTTCAGAATAAAACTACTTTGGGTTTGAGGGAAACTGTTTTCATTAGGATTTAAAGAAAAGTAGTTTGTGGATCTAATGCAGTTCAGTTTCACAATGTTTTTCATTTCATCCGTCAGCATTCCTTAGTTATTTTTTGGCGATACTTGAAATAATGAAAACTGTAATAGCAATAATTATAATGAAGAGATGCAAGAAAATGATTATGATGATTATGATGATACAAAAGTGTGGATTTAGAGAATAACAAAAATCTGTGGAAAACAAACAATTATAGAGAATCGAATGATCAAAATATAATACTTATTTGATTCTCCGTATCCTCTTTGATATTTAATTATGTTAGTTTGTTGTTTGTGTTAAGCCTCAGCGCAAACCGTCCGGCGTTTGCATCACTAAGTTCGATACTAAGCCATATTCATCAGCGTCTCTCACCAAAAACAATCCCTTGGTCCCCAACCTTGGAAGAAGGCTCCACCAACCAAGGCCAATATTGAGTCTAACACTTTCATACCCGCACTCTAGATCCAACCGTCGTGCTGTTCCTACCTGCATTACATAAGATTTGCAAAGAAAACACGACAAGGTAGGAACTGAGCAAGTATATGAAAACTTGTTTAAAACATCGGAATCAGTGTAGAACAATTTACCGTAAAGCAATATATCCTGAACAGCTGCGATATATACCGATCCATTAAGGCGCAACCGAGATATCATGGCGGTGCCACAAATGTTGCATATCAGAAGGAGCTTATCGATCTTTTGCCATTCGAAATGTGATCTCTTTTGCAAATCAATGATGTCTGAATTAGAAGTTTTGTTGGGTTTAAGAAACAGGAGTACCCCTGAAGGATAAGTAATGACACAAACAAATGAGCACATTGTAACAAATTTGCGGTACCTATAGAGTGGTAGGTTCAAATGAACAAGGGATCTGAAGTGCCTAAAATAGTAATCCCGGAGGTGTGATACATTATAAATAAAAAATAATATTACATTTATTTCGTTTTACTTGTAAATATGTATATAATATATATGTTAACTTATAGGGGTCTTTACAGTGAATAAACAAATGGAATAAGCATGTTTCTTAAAGGTTTTATGGACAACATCTAACGGATTTGATTATAAGACCTCGTAATTTTCTTGCTGGTGTTGGAAGTCGAAAGTTGCCTCAATGAATGCTTTTTTATCTGAAATTCAGGTTTGCAGATTCAATTGTTGAACGGCATTTTCGATGAGTGAATTATGAAGTAGGGAAATTAAAAAAGAATGACCGGAAGAAAATTAAAGTAAACCCAATATGAACGAATACTAAAGCGGAATAATGTTTTAAGTAGTTTTATTCGCCGACCAATAATATCACATTTATTTACAAGGGAATTTAAAAATCGGAAAAATGTTGGAGTTTTAAGATCTTTGGATTTTCTTATGTTACATTCATGCTTTATTTGTGTACCGATGTTTAATAAGCTTGCGTCATTCGTAGATCAGCGTGAAAGAACAAATTAGTTTTGATAAAGAAAATATTAATGTGTGAGGCAGTCTTGGTTGATCTAAAGAGGCGGCTTATGACAATCAAAATCATTTCTAACATTCAGGATGTATTTATACGCAATCTGTATTGTAAGCAGTAGAAAATATGAGCGCAATATAAACTGATTATATTATCTTTATTAAGTAAAAGCTTCTGAAAGTCAAATATTATCATCAATATTATGTTTTATATCATAGGCAAGTATGGATAATCACCGCACTACTTTACAGCTTTGTTTGTCAGGAAATAACTGCAACGATTAGTAAAAACCCGAAATTTGCTGAAAATTATTCAGCATGTAGGATTTACTCAGCTCAATAGCTTTAGCTATTACCGGCATTTACTGTGTAGGATCAAAGAAACACAAGGATATTATGGCAAATTCTGCAGCATAACTAAATTTCGCAAACGAGCACCTGTATTTTAACGGCTTTTGATACGGTATATTCTTGTTTGGTCTTGCAGTAAATATAAAAAGATAAGTTAGAGTATTATTGGAACACTTTTTAAGAGGTTTATGTGTCTATTAAGATGATTGAGTGCCTTCCAACCAGACAGAAATGGCTTCTCAGACAGTTTAGCTACAATGGTAGAAGTAAGATTAAAGCGTTTGATCATCAAGCTGGTAACACATGTTTTGTTACTCGGAATTCATGCGAAAGTTGACTCTATCCAGTTGATTTCCGACTATCGCTCTTTAGGACAAAAGAAAATACCAGAAAAAGTAACTTTCTCAAATTAGGTTTTATGGAAACTTCATGGTAGATGTTTTGCTGCATCTCACAATGTTTGAAAGAAAATTATTGCAAACAGTTTTCATCGCAACTCCATAGGAAACTGCCTTTCGGTTTTTCTGAAGTAATTACAAAACGTAAAAATCCACCTCACAGGAGAAACGTATTAGTCTTTTAAAAACAAAGTTTTTATTAAGAATGTTTTAAATATTAGATTTACGAACACTTAGTGAATAAAGTTTCCGCACAAGCCTGGTGGTATACTATCATGACAATAAACAAGAAGGAAAACTTTATTAGATTCGATGCAAGTTTGCAGAAACCTTGACTTTGATCTGAATTTGAGGAAAACATTTATTTTTTCCAGGAGACAACAAAAGTTGTTGGGAGCAGTCACGTCAATCACTTTGAGAGGAGATGGACATCAGTTTTTTGTGACAACTGACAAATGTCATTTGTACCGATTCAATTATGCTGACTTTACGCACGAATTGATCAATACATGTCATTACGCTGCTGTAAATGACATTCGTTTCCCAAGGTAGGTTCAAGCAGGGTCCGCGATATTTTAATTAAGAAAACTTTTTACCGACCGTATTTATATCTAAACCTTTCAGATTTACCAGTTAAACAAGATTTTTATTCTTCCAATTTACTTTAAAAATTCCGTCTCAACCAACATTCACCATATTCCTTTATTAATATCCGAATAGTAGTTTGCTTTTCCTCTTTATGAGCGATTACCTGTATGATTAAAACCTACGTAAAACAAAACATTAAGTCAAATAATAAGATACCTATAATGTTACATAATACATACCCAAATGATGTTCACTGCCATCCTAAATAAATAGTTTGTCTAATATATCGAAGATTTTGTGACTTACAACAAGATTAGATTACTAGATTGATCAAGATTGTTATGTACTATTTAGTGATGATAAAGACTCACACGATCTTCAAAGAAACTGGAATCTCTCTATCAGTATAGGGCCGCAATCATAAATTAGAAATCTACCTTTTTCATTTTTTTGTCATCAAATAGTCTGAAAAATATTTGGGCTTTCCATATACACAGATAGGCATAAACTAAAGTGGAAAAGATTACAGCAACAATTATAAATAAAAAAGTCTAAGTAGGCTATAAATTTTGAGAACGATGGCAAAAATCACTTAAGTTTAGCGAATGTATCGGAGCACTGATTTCCTCTTCTATCATTTGCGAGGCAGTTTGGCGGAATCAGATGGCTGTTTTCATGGAGTAATTTTATGGCCAATCTACATATTACTAATGAGTAGCTAAAAAGCTGTTTCGTGTTTATTTTTGCCAGACCAAAGGAACAGGATCGGGACTGCGTATGCGGATCGGACATTATAGTGCCAGTATCTTAATCATAATCAACAATGAAAATGGTTATTAAGGCTTTCGTTAGAAACTAATTCAAGTGAATTCTTCGAATCTAAAGAAGACTGAATCCCAAATGTAACACTGTTTTTTAACAAAAAGTTGATAAAAGGAAAACGGTTTCGAAGGGTAGGTATTTGGCAGGTTAATCAAATAGGCAAATCCTGATTGGTCATCGGCAAACATTAAGGTGAACATATCGCAGTTGTTTCACGAAAGTGTTGCGCCGGCCCCATCGTAATGCAATGTTATAATGCGTTCGATCACAGTTGTCTGTCAATATTCTTGTGCCTAGGATACCTGATTCAAATGAACTGATTGTTGTGCATGGAGGTCAAAATAATCTAATCGAAGAGACCTGATAATCAAAATAACATCTGCTAACGCGGTGTGTGAATTAAATATTTGCTTGAATAAACAAACAACACATGAAAATGAACATGTCAAGGGGTGGTGAAATCCATTGGAGACATCAAATTAGTTCTGATAATAATAATAGTTCTGATAATAATGATATTATTGTATTCGATGTATAGATTCAGAGTGTCAGACAAATTATTGGAAGCGTAACTTTGCAATAAAAAATAATCGATGGTTTGTTTGTGATAGTAAGGAATGACAATGATTGAAGCATCCAGAACCTGGAATCCGTGTACCCAATTTTTGTTCGCAAATCTCTTTCAAATTCCGCAAACATTTCATAATCTTAATTGACTACATAGTGAATTTCATCGTCTACAGAGCAAATGAAGCGTGAACTGAAAAGGTAGGGAGCACTTTTCAGGTATTTTTGTAATTTTAATTGCAATTATAACTTTTTCACCTGTAAAGCCTAAATTTAAGTTAAAAGAGAGAGAAAAGAAATTGAATCCCGAAACTTCTAACAAAGTCTGTAAAAACTTATCTTTTGTTACTGAAATACGTGCTAAAGAGGGTGCCGCAGAGTTACGATATATGTTTATTTGGGTGGGAACACAACGGTATTAGAAGCTAGTTGACGGATGGGAACAATGGGAAGTTAAATCTGTATGTAGCGGATGTGTGGGGTCGATAAGAATCAAATGTCCAAACTTCTCACTTGCATTCATCTGATGTTCGCGCAGATAACCTACCAACTCCTCCAGCGGGATTGAAGAGACGCGGCTAATGATGGTCAGTCCATGTTGAAGCCTTGGTCTTACATAGTAATATAATACCTTACCAAATTCGCTTAATATTGTTTCATTGTAGAAGCTGGGAGGCGAACGATACAGGGACTTCAGCTTTGATCAAGTTAGTATAATACTTGACAACCGCCGATTATCTTGATTTGTTCTTCCTGTCTTCTAAATGAATTCAACAGTGGAGGTGATGTTCTGTCTTCACATACAAAAAAGCTTCAAAAGGGCAGCACAGGTTAAATATGTAGTTTGATATTTTAGTGAATAAGTTAACTGTAATATGTAAAGAAGGACAGGAAGAAAACCACGTGAAAAGGACACTAATGGAACGCTAAAGAAGAAGAGTGTTTCTGGGGGAGAGATGGCGAAGGTGAATAGTGATTTGGTTGATTCTTGTGAGTGTATTGTGAGTGGGCGAGGGAGTACACTGTGAATCTTATGAGAATAAAGGCGTAGTCGCTAGTGGAAACAGGTGTTCTGAAATTTAGCGCATAGTGGTTCGGGTGATTAGCATTTACATGGTCTAAAGATGAATCACCCTTTGTGGGGGATAGGCAAGCATAAGTTAGGCCAATGAGATTGTGGGAAAGTTTGGTGCGTGATAAAAGTCATCAACAACAATTTACAGACTGATGTCTATCAGGGGAACGAAAGACGGTATAAATGCATCAAAGAAGGATGAAATGTGAGACTGTGTCCAAAAGAGGGTTATGTATAAATTGGTAATGATTGTGCCTCTATGTCGCGAAAATCTCGAGGACCATCGAATAGTTAAAAAGTCAACGCCATTGGCGGAACGATCAAAGAGAACCTCAGACTTGCCACTCCAAGAAGAGTTGATGTATGTGATCACTTTAACTCCTGTTTTCTTCTTATGGTGCTTTCTGTCCTTACGGAAGCAAGTGATTTCAACTAATGAGTCCCCGCCATTTTGGTCAAGCCAGGATTCTTGAATACAAACGACTTGATTGGGCTTCATCAGCTCGGTCAAGTGGGTAGTAAGTTTGCGTTCTACTTATGCGGTCCTGAGTTTGATCTCCAGCTGGATCAATGGATTCACACAACTGATGAGAACAAATTAGGTCAAAACAGCTGTCCAGTGCTTCCTAGATTTCCATTTCAAACTTTATTTGCTTCGCGCACGACCTAACTCAGTGTATGATGGAATCAAATCCCCTATTACTGTTATGCAGCATTCTAAATCGAGACATGTTTGGTGCCGTGGTGATATTCAACTGTCTAGAAACGGTCCAGTTCGGACAGTTCTGCTGTCTGATGCAGGGACTTAATCTCCACGAGTAGAAAATGAACGTAGACCATGGATGTCCGCAAGTGACAGTCCATACCCCTTTGCAGGCCTCTTGTGGGACAATCGGACAAACAATACAAGAATTAAGCGGCAAACTCTCTCTGAAATTGCGCGCTAGTAGATGTGTGTGATAAGAAAGATCGATCATGTTACGTTGGTGAATAGAGTTTCGCAGGTCAGGCAGTAGTTAGAATACGGTCAGATTCCGCCTAGTTATTTGACCTGACTTGATAATATGGACACTTGCAAGTCAAACTGGTCCTGTAGGTCGCCTGATGCTTTCTGATTGTAGTCTTCATGTCTGAACAAATCAATGATTGACTGGTATACACACTGAACCCTAGTAAATTTATTCACTTTCGTACTAACTGCAGGACAAAGAGATTTCCAATATTTCTGTTTTCCCCTTCCAAATATTGATTTTGGTAGTCCTATTTTGACCATTGGTTTATTTCACTTCACTCCAAATTGGAAGACTAAAGACAAAGAATAAACGTAGAATACCAGATTTCAAGGTGAATTTATGAGTGAAATATATTGGAAGTTTTTGAAGGTAACACACCCAGGTACATGGGGTGATTTCAGTTTGCCGTTTGTGAAATCGATGTACACGATGATGATGTTTGTCATTTACATCACTCACATCATTTATTTCGTTCCTGCTCTGAATAAAATTTACCCAGCTAGTTAGACTGAGACAATAACTGTAAGAAAAAGTGCTGATGCTGCTTCTTTAGTTAGTAAATTACTATGTTCTGTAAGCATGAGTAATCTTGCCAGTTTTTTAGGGACAAAAGTTTTATAGGAATTGATTTGAGCTGCGTCATCACTGGATTTATTTTCTTTTATCATCTATTGTTTTATATAACCCAAAAGAACACGTGTGATAAAAAAATGTAAAATTAGAGGCCGAAAACTCGTTCAAATAGGAATCAAACTTCATCCGATTAAGTACTTCAGCTCATACATTCAACATTATTTTTTACTTGTCTATTTTTTATTGTAATTACATTTAAATTAAAACTACCTTTTGTGTAGGATGGGCGATTATGACTTACCAAATCACCTTTCAAACATCGTATTCATGCCGAATCCTCAGTTCTTCCACTCAAGCATGTAAACCAGAAACACCAGACTTCAGTCCATCACTGGTGAATATCACATCCGGGATTGAAACTCTAGACACTTGCGTGTTACTACTGTGTCAATCAGCTCACACAATGGACAGGCAGAATTATCGGTGCGAGTTTATGCAGATGTCATCTTCGGATCGGCATGGGCGGTGGTGGTCCGGTGGTAAGGGATACCAAGTTATCACCCCGGAGGAAATGTGTTGG